ATTATTATTATTTGTATTTTCATTATACATATGCTTATAATGAAAGAAAGAAAATAAAAAAGTAAAAGATACAAATAAATAATAATGACAAATATCACGATTGTATTAAACATTACAATTACATTACATCAGATATATTTCTTTCACAAAATTGTGGAAATATATTGATGATATGTCGCTATATAGATTAAAATGTTACAAGTATTTACATTACTCCTTTATTTTATCTTACATCCATATCTTCCTATTTTTCTTATTATCTTTTTGTTTTTTTTTTTCACGAGTGCCCGGAAAGCTTTTGGCGATTCTTTGAAAAAAGCTATTTCATCTCTAAAAATGGTTCGAGAGGAAAGGGGATTGCGTAAGGGTTGGTCAAATAAATACGTGGTCAAGATTTTACTATTAATTAACGATAAATCAATCAAATGATAATAACATTCGAATAATAACGCGTTGAGTGTCCGTGATAACTCGTGGCAATGGTTTTATTTTTTTATGGTGCCACGTAGATCATTCGTTTACCGACATTGCTATTCCTACTAATCTTCAAATAATCTTACAAATTAATATTATAACTTCTAATTAAAATAAATTACGAAAAAATAAACAAAATAAAGGACGTGCTTAAACTTTTTACCAATCTTTGATGAACGGAACGAGAACGAAGGGAAAGAAAAGTCTCCGTGCGGGAAGTGGTTAAATGAAAATAGAACGAAAAAAAGAAAAAAATAACAAAAACCCCTATAGAAATAGACTGGGTAATATTACATTTCGTATTAAATTTTTTTTTTTTTCCCCCAAACAAAAATATATAATCGGCACGAAATATCATTTTTACAAATTGATAACTACAAAAAAATAAGATCGAACGAGATTAACTTATTTCGCGAATAATGATGCCTCCTCCTCCTTCTCTTATCTCCTCCTTCACTATCTTTCCCTATTCCTCTTCCTCCTACCCCTCTCAGCAACCCCTATTATCTTTGTTTGTCTCTGTACGATGATCTCGGGCCCACCAAAAATCAAGAATCGAAGAGGAAGAAGAAGAGGTGGGGAGGGAGGAAGGAAGAAGAGGAAGAGGGGAGAAGGCATTCTGGTTTTCGCGGAGGTGGTGGTTGGTGGTTGATGATGGTGGTGGTTGTTGTTGTTGTTGTTGGTGGTGGTGGTGGTGGTGGTGGTTGCGGCGGCGGATATTTTATTCTACCGGGACAGAATTTATGAACGATCGGGATAATAAAATGCGACGAGGCGCGTTCGCCCACTTGGCGAAGAATATTTCCACGGGGTGGGGGTGGGGGGAAGGGAATAGCCCCGGCAAGCAAGCGAAAATATCGGCCGACTGCTAAACGTTCGCCGTTTGCTTGATTTCGGCCCCGAGATTACGCCGCGATCGATAAATAAAAACCACGAATAATAACGCGCTTCCCCAAAAAAAAAAAAAAAAAAAAAAAAAAATTTAATAAACAAAAAAAATTATTAATCTTTTTCATTATATATATTTTATTCTACCACCGCCATTCGCCACCCACCAACCAACCCCCATCTTTTGCTCTTCTTATTTCTTTTTTTGTTTANGAAGGGAATAGCCCCGGCAAGCAAGCGAAAATATCGGCCGACTGCTAAACGTTCGCCGTTTGCTTGATTTCGGCCCCGAGATTACGCCGCGATCGTTTACCCTTTTCTTGGGATTAACATTAGCGCTACGAAAAAAGAAAAAGAAAAAACAAAAAAAAAAAAAAAAAAAAAAAACAAAAAAAATTATTCATCTTTTTCATTATATATATTTTATTCTACCACCGCCATTCGCCACCCACCAACCAACCCCCATCTTTTGCTCTTCTTATTTCTTTTTTTGTTTAGATCGACAAAATAAGTGTCCATTTTGGTAGAATTAAAAAAACAAAAAAAAACAAAGAAACATCGATACAAAGTGATTAAAAAAAAGCGTGCTAGGATAAAAATAATTACGAATTGTTTTTTTTGGTTTTGAACTTACCTTTTTATTTTGATTCCACCTACCGCCCATCCTTTTGTTTATTTTTTTATTTTAAGCGTTAAGTATAGTCATAAGGACTGATACGAAATTACGTTCGAAATAAGCATAATGATTGAAGTTATCTATAAAAATGTATGGAATACACATTTCTATATATATATATATATATATATAAAATTGTTAATCTTTTTATTTTTATTCGTTTTTGATTACCTATCTCTCTCGTTCCTCCTTACTTCTTACATTGTTAAAGTAAAATAATAAAAAGTATAAATGATTTACCGATTGTGTCGTGGTGAGCGACGAAAAGATCGATAGAAATGATTTAGAAAAGCGTGTTCCATTCCGATCTGATCCATTATCTTCAGTATGAAATCTATAACGGATATTTATCATTCAATCTCACCTTCTTACTATCATCTTTCTTCGAAACTTGAACAAATGCAATAAGAATGAATTATTACGAACTCGCGAGAGTTTCGCAGGATCATGAAAAAACAATGGTTTTTTTTTTTCTTTTTTTTTTCTTAATGAACAATTTGATCTCGAACAAAGTGGGATCTTCGATGGAGGAAAATCACATCTCAACACGTGCAATACTCGCAAAAGCATAGAAATATTTAAATACACAGAGGATAGAGAGACATGTGTATTTAAATACATAATACGAATAGAATTCAAGATTCTTAGAGGAGATTAAACTAAATTGTTTTCTATAGTGGATATATAAATATCATGAAGGGACACTTATTAAACTGGTCTCTTAGTATCTTCCCTCTTACTCTTTCTAAAAAAGAAGATAAAAAAAAAAAAAAGACAGAAGGCTTGTATGGGTGATGCGAGTTG